CGCTTGAAGCGTGGAAAATTAGAGTTCCTGGTCCTATGGAAGGGCTACGGAGACGAGGACAGAACGTGGGAACCAGAATCCCATCTGGAAAACTCCCGCGACACTGTTCGCGAATTTTATTCTAGGAATCCCTCAGCTCCCAGGAAGCTTAGAGGCATGGATTCAAACCTTTTTAATTCCCTCTTTCAACCTATGCCCGAAAATTTTACCACTACCTCCGGAATTTGGTCTCGCCTGGAAGTCAAGCCTTAGAAGGGGGGTAGTGTTATGATAACACAATTTCCGGACATCTCCTTTCCTTTTATTCTCCGCTTTAACTTTATACTTTAAGTGCCACGTGGCATTTCCCTTTCTCGCGCCGCGTTGCCTTTCTTTTACTTTTAGACTTAACTCTCTCACGCAGTGGAGCTGGCTATACGGGCTAGGCCCTATGACATCATCAGCCACTGCCTTCATCAACTGTATAGTACACATGTACAAACAAACCTGTAGTAGTATATATACCCCAATAAATCCAGGAGACTCCTCAGCGAGTCCTCCTGTTGTATACCAACTAACTCACTGCAGCCCAAGGGGTACCCACTCCCCATCTTCCACTACCTTTATAGTGTGTTCCTGTGTGCGCCAGAGTAACTAACTCTTGGTTGTTACACTCGTGGTACTAGACATGCTTCCGCCTTTCATTGACATCAAGCAATTGAACAACACTTTGCTTTTTGGGATGCTGATAAGTATGCTGCATTAAGTAGGTTCTACTCACACAATGGTACCACACACTAACATGGTGTTTAGCTACATTTTTCAGGAATCATTACCATGAAGCCTCCAAAGCTATAAACACGCTTACGGCCGAACTTGAGATTATCAAGGTTGAACTACACCTTACCGAGACAGATTTTGAACGGTTTTATGCCGAGGAACAAAAACATCTGACCACTCTGACACAATATCCAGTTAAAGACCAGCTCTACACACGATACATTGAAGCACTTAATAAATTACACACTCGACAGTATGCACTTGATTTTCTGTAGCCATATATATAACTGACTATGTAGAATGAATGGGGAAATGCACGTC